AAGGCCGTGTGAAAAGCGCGCTAGCGTTGAAATGGCGACAGTGGCGGTGGCGGCGCCCGGTCGTCTGTGGCGGCTGAGTAGAGCGGAGCATCTGAGCATGTCGACATTGATCCTCCCACAATGCGCCTACCCCGCCAGGCACCACAGCTGTGTGAGAGCCATGGCGGACAGTGTCTTGGTGTAGCCTAGCCCTTGAGTGGGATAGGGAGTGCCTTTGCGCTCTTACACCAGGGCATCCTGGCAGCCCTGTACGGGACCTTCATACCATACCAAAACCCTCATACCTGATGAGATCCCAACTCCAGAGGAGCCGTCCTCCCCTCGATCCTCAAGCTCGAAAGGGGCGGCTCCTTAAGGAGGGTGGTTCACCTCCACGCACCTCTTCACGCCAGGTTGGCAGCAGCATCAGCAGAAGCAGTGGGAGGGCTTGCGATGGTGGTGGGAGTGCTGCCGACACTGCCAAGGATACAACCTGATAGACTTTGCACTTGGCTGTACTGATGGTTCCATCCTTCATCTCTGCTCAGACGACTCTCCAAGGTGGATACATCAACTTTTGAGATCAACTATATGAAGGTTGGCAGCAGCATCGGCGGAAGCAGTGGGAGAGCTTGCTCTGTGCTGCTGTCTTTCAGTCGTATTTTAGGGCACCACCATTCCTTGGTATGTTGTTGTTTCCTGAATTCCATGAGAAATGAAACTCGTATTGTTCCTTTTGGTTCTGTTACATGCATCGCCTTTACTGTTTCGTATTTAGAAACATGTAAGGTAAACAGTTCGGACATAGTAATGGGTTGTAGTATTGTGGGTGTGTAGGAAATTGGTTTATATTGGTTTTGAGGTTGAAATGTTTGCAGTGGTTTAGGGTGAAACTCGTGGGACTACCAGTAGCAGTGCCTCAAGGAGCAGTGAGAGTGCGACAAGAGGCAGTGGGAACTCTACTGGCTTGGTGGTAAGAGAGACCCGGTAAAGAGAAAACTTGAGTTGTATCCATTGGATGCGTGGTGGGAAACCTGTCTAGGCGACTCAGGCTCACAGTGTTTTGGACAGTGATGATGAGAGGGCAGCCTTGACACTGATGAGGGACTTGTTGTTATCTGTTTGGAGTTTGAGAAGGGTTGGGTTATCTATATTCGTGGCTATATTCACTATGGATTTCTGTAGAAAACATTGACCTCGTCTTCTAGGCTAGTATAATTTCTGTGCTGCTGTCTTTCAGTCGTATTTCAGGGCACCGCTATCCCTCGGTATGTTGTTGTTTTCTGAATTCCATGGGAAGTGAAATTTGTATTGTTCCTTTCGGTTCAGTTACATGTGTTGCCTTTAGTATTTCGTATTCAGAAACACGTAATGAAAACAGTTCGGACATAGTAATGGGCTATAGTATTGTGGGTGTGTCGGAATTTGGTTTATATTGGTTTTGATGTTGGAATGTTTGAAGTGGTTTGGGGTGAAACTCACGGGATTTGGACGATATGGGAGACCCGGTGAAGAGCAAACTAGAGTTGTATCCATTGGGTGCGTGGTGGGAAATCCGTCCAGGCAGCAAAGGCTTCCTTCCCAACTCCTAGTCATTGAGCCTATAGGCTAGTTTTTGTTTGTAAGGTTTAGCCGTTTGTTTGGATCCTGGCGGGACGTAACACTGCTGAATTAGGCAACTGAGCATGGTTCGATAGTAGTTTAGCATCGATGTGCGGCACTGCAATGATCTGCTAGGTGGCACAGACTGAACTTTAGCACCAACTGGGACGGTGCCTTGTTTCTCACGGGAATTACTTTGAGCGCTTCAAGGGATTTTGGAAGATGAGGGTAGACCGGTGAAAGGAAGGGACGCTGGACCCTTTTTCCAGCAACAGCCCAATAAGGGCTATTGGTTTCATATCTTCCGGGTTGTTTGTGAGGAATTCCCGGACTCCTTTCATTTGTAATAAAAGCTAATGATTCTTCCAAAAAAAAACAAACAAACAAAAAAAAAAAAAAAAACAGCACAGAGGAATCAATGATAGTTTGGTGCTTCAAAACATTCAAGATTATGGGCCTCAGCTCCACTACGCACCACTCTACATGCATTTGGACGCTTTAAGGACCAGCTACACCAGGATGAGTCCAACATTCTGAATGTACGGGATCCGGAGAGCATCCAAATGCATGTAGAGTGTTGTGTAGTGTAGAGAGGCCCTATCTGTCATATTCTAATCGTCAGCAAAAGATTGTTGTGATTGGGTCCTTCCTGCATCATCTGAGAACATGCACTTCTTCTGTACCCAGCTCTGAACTTCCTTTTCTTTTTTCTTTTTTTTCTTTTCTTTTTGAAACAGTTCTTTTTTTTCTTTTTAAAAGTAAGCCATGTTTTCTCTCATCTATCTCATCTTCTTGCCAGTACTCATCTATCTCATCCTCTCGCCAGTCTATGTAGTACAGTATGGGGGAACACCAACCAACCTGGATCTCTCCCTAGCCCACGGGGAGGTGCAGTGACTGGCCATTGCTCGGCGTTAGCACCGCCGAATTTCCCCATCGGCAATGCCTGCCCACCTGTGGCATACTGCGTAGCCACACGGGCCCTGCAGGGCCCGTCCCGCACTTTGAGCCTAAAAGCCTAGAAAATAGGGCTTACAGGCCCCGGTCGTTTCAGCCTGAAACTGAAAAATGAGGGCCTGCAGGCCCTATTCCGTTTTCAGCCTATTTCTGGGCCTTTCAGGCCCAGAGGCTTTTCAGCCTGAAACGGAGGGCCATTTTCAGGCCCTCATTGTGTTCGACCTACCCTAAGACTCAGGCACAAAAACAGGGTTTCGGGAACAGGCTATTTCTGGCCTGTTCCCCACGACAGCTCAAGCAGGAGCTGCAGCGCCAGCCCCTGCCTCCCTTCGGCATTGGCAAGAGCAGCCTCCTGGACTGCCTCACCTGCAGTCAGGAGGCACCCGAGTACATCGGAAGTTCCCATGCACTTCACGGGTAGGTAGTTGGACAGGTAGTTGGACAGTAGGCACGAGTAGTCTTCAGGATTCAGCCGCAGCACTCAGGAGGAGCGCTGGCAGTAGTAGTTAGCGCTAGCAGTAGTCTTC